TGGTTCTTCCAAAAAAGGAATTTTGATTTAGTAGAATAATTTACTCACCGTCATGTTCTTCCAAACACATATGTCTTTCTTCTGTAGAACACAAAAGGAGATATTAGGAAGAATGACAGCCTGTATGGAAAAAAAAAATGATGCCGTGAAAGGTAATGAAGAATGAGGCTGTCATCAATCCATAACATTCTGCCCGACATGTTTAGTGTTCCACTGAAGAAAGAAAAGTAATGAAGGGATGGAATAACATGAAGGTAAATAAATGACAGAACTATCATTTCTAGGCAAACTACTTCTTTTGCATTATTAGATTTCTGTAATTTTCATGATGAATGAATGATAACATCACTAGTCTAAGATCAAAACCCAGTCAGTGTTTTCTTCCCTATCTCTGCCCAAGTTCGTTAGTTCCTCACTTTTTATGTTTCTCCTTGACCTCTTTTCCAGTCTTTCTCCTTTTTATACTCCAGTCATCTCTCTCTCTCTCTCTGTTTGTTCCATTCACATTTAGTCTGACTGAGAAGCATGACTGAATGCTTTCTGACAGCCATAGCTGATAAATTAAGCAATTGACAGTCTGAATGCTTCCCTCAGGTGAGACTCAAAACACACACGCGCGCACACACACACACACACACACGTCCAATCCGTCCTTCACACTTTCACTGTAATCTCACCATATGATTTAATTTCAGCTACTGTACAACTGCACACACCTCCACACACATACCTCGAGACATCTGCTTGATTTTAGTGCAGTAGATGATATGCATATACCACAAAATCATCATGTTAGTTTGTGTGTGTGTGGGTGTGTGTTGCGGCTATTCACATTTGACCGCACTGATAGGTTGAAAGCCACATTTTGGCCGATAATTCATCCGTCGTGCCCTGAAGGTTAGCAGCAGCCATGAAAAACACTCTCACACAGGTTACTGTATATCAGGGCGGTAAGGAAGCATCTTTGTTGTTCAGCTTCCTCACAGGAAGAGGGTGCAGCCCCTTTAGTTGATGGAAAGACAGACTGAATATATACACATTCAAGTTGAGCATAGCTGAGCAAGCACAGAATAGACTGTTTTTTTGTTCAGGCCTTTGTTCAGAGGAAATTAGGAGTAGCAAATAAATACAGATTCAATTCAGTTGGTATTCAGAAGAGGCCTGGGAAATTCTGGACAGTAAAAGTGCACAGGGAAGTTGTAGACAAGTAGCTCGACAGCTCACCCTGCTGGCTGGTACAACAAAGTGACACAGTTATGATACATGTTCAGAGTAGCATACTAACAAATTAGTCTTACTATTACTCTTAATATTCTACATGTACTTCTACAAACTTGACCTTCCATTTTCATTGTGATGGATGAATCCAGAATGAGTTGCAACCCTTTTCTTCATTGGTTGATTACCTTAAAATAATACTACTAATAAAAACTGCAAAAACGTATGTACTTCTATGATGATAACTGAATGACATTGACTAAATAAAGGAATAGCACAGGCAGAAATTAAAATTAGCTGAAAATGTGCTCACTCTCAGGCCATCCAAGATTAGGATGAGTTTGTTTCTTCATCAGATTTGGAGAAATGTAGCATTGCATCAGTGTCTCAGCAATGGATGCTCTGCAGTGAATGGGTGCCGTCAGAATAAGAGTCCAAACAGCTGATAAAAACATCACAATAATCCACAAGTAATCCACAGCACTCCAGTCCATCAGTTAATGTCTTGAGAAGAGAAAAGCTGCGTGTTTGTAAGAAACTAATCCATCAAGGGATTTCAACTTTAAACCATTGCGTCTGGCCAAAAGATGAGTCTATAATCCATTATTGTGATGTTTTTATCAGCTGTTTGGACTCTCATTCTGACGGCACCCATTCACTGCAGAGCATCCATTGCTGAGACACTGATGCAATGCTACATTTCTACAAATCTGATGAAGACATAATGGAATGCAGTATGCATACTTCAAAAATAGTATGTCTAGTATGGTAGAATGCAATTGGGAATACATCCACACTGTTATTATCCATCCACACCGTAACAAAAGCTTCAACAGAACACTTGTTAACATAATTAGTTTTATTATTTTTGTAGCTAATTTACAACAAGCATCTCACAGAAATTAAACATTTTTATTATCCGATACTGTCATTGGTAAATCTCTCTTTTAAGATAAATCATTTAAATATACTTTTGCATCAGATGGCATTGTTGTATTTTCATAATTATTCTTTTTTTTAAATAAAAGCAATATGTTCAATCTGTTCAGGATAATTAGAATATGTTATGGCAAATACAAATCGATAAAATACATTTGATTCTTTCAAATAAATAAATAAATTCAACTCATAATTCATTCTAGTAAGAGTGAAGTCATATATTTCTCTTGGTAATACATTGTGTGTGCGTGTGTGTGTGTGTGTGTGAGCACTTTTGTGCAGCTCATACAAACCGCAATATACGTTCTTATTTTTCATTACTTATGTGGCCAATAACACGATTTGGGAAATGTATTTAAGGGCTATGTTTATAAAAGTATGTGGTATGTGTAATGCGTGCAAGCTAAATTTTGATTTTTTTTTTTTTTTTTTTTTTTTAATTTCACAGTAAAGTTTAATTTTTAGTTTGAGTTTTCACATTTGATTGTGTGCAGCTCCACTTTGGAAACCACAGCAAAAGCGTCTCAGTCTTCACATAAAACCTGATGTAAACAAAGCAGTAAACAATTAAATAATTATATAAAATCTATAAATAAAAATAACGGCAAGAAAAGAACTGTCACTGCACTCCAAACACACATAAATATTGAAATTCAAACGCAAAAAGTCAAAAGAAAATAAGTGAAAGTAAACAAGCCACCGGATCGCTCTGTATTCCTCTGCTTTCCACCAGAAACCTTCTGCTGTTCATCACGCCTGATCGAACCTTCCCTTTAATAAGTGCAAATGTGTTTCACTTCATCTTCTTATCAACTTTCTTTTGGCCTGACACAAACGGTGCCAGTTACATTAGTCTCAACCAAAGTCCGTTTCCATAAATCACCATAGTAATGCTCATGGCATTGATTTACAGGAAATCTCACTTAAATCAGATGCAAACCCCTGGACTGTGTTCAGGACAAACCATAGTTCCCTTTCGTGGAACTTCGAACTGTGTCCTCTAGGGGTCGCTATGGGGAACGCGGTGAATGATGTGTGCTACCGGTGCCTATTTTATAGTCGCACCGGTAGTGACGTCATGGCTGTCGCCGGCCAACGAGTTGGTGTTATTTCAATGTATGCTTCAGACACGGGTCACGATGAGGCGTTCCCCATAGCGACCCCTAGAGGACGCAGTGTCTCGTTCCCCTCAGGGAACCATGGTTACATACGTAACCTGAGACGTTTTCATCCTTACTTTAGACCTTGAATGTGAAGCCCTCTGAGCTCAAAGCACCGTATCGATTTTACCGCATCGCTGTCACGGCACAAAACGGTAAAAAAACCAATTTATCATTCTGCCATTCTCTTGTCGGCCAGGGTTGAAGTGGGCACTTTGTCAACCTCACAGAATTATGGGTAAAATTGTTTACAAATGAGTGTTTCGCTCTGAGAAGGGTAATTAGTCGGAGGCAGGCTTAGATTGTTAAACTTCGCTGGCTAAGCGGATTATTCTCTCTAATAATCTCATCAAACATAATGAACCCACGATCGTATTCCAATAAAACTCCAGCATCATTAAGATCCCTTCAGTGATGGCAACATCATCGACCCACCAATGAACTGATGTGATGATGTCCACTGACTGTCCATTGAGATGCATCAAAGTAGCCTCATTGGTTTGATTGCAAGAGTTAATTATCATCTGATACACAGCATAAAAAACATCGTACAATTCACTATTTTCCTGATAGTATTCGTGTGTGTGTGTTTAAGTGTGTGTGTGTACGGAGAGTTTATAAGGCTGAATGAAAGGCCAGCAAGGCTACGTTCACATTGCAGCTGAATGGGGAAAAATCACATTGAATTCAACTGTGAGCCGTAAACGTCATGTGACTAATCACTCTGGAGACACAGAAAGATGACTTGACGTTCGTGTTTTTCCAACCTGATCTCATAAGCATGCATATCTATTTTAAAGGTGGCAATTTCATATGAATTCATGCGATGCACTTTGTACGAAAATGTACATTTTTTTAGAAAAAAGCATGAAGCTCTATCGCACGAAACCATACGAATGTGATGATACGAATTCATACGAATTAGCCACCAATTCACCAAAACTGTTACGAATTGCCATGAGTCTGCGTTGTATTTTCTGATGACACCACAAATACGTACACCGTCCCAAAGCCTTCACGAGCAACTATCCTGAGCTGTGATACGAGAAAAGCCACTAACAAAACATCTACTATTATACAATGAAATATTTGAGATGTAAATCATTTTTAAGTTATATTTCATCAAAATAACCTACTACTCTTCAGAAGGTGATGCTTGATTCACGTTAGCTGAGAAAAAGACAGAGGACAGTGAAAACAAACACTGGCATGATGGCGAGGTATTAATAAATAATAAATAAATAATTAAATATCCCAATATAATTACTGAATATATCATTTATCATTTTATATAAATGCATTTAAATAAATAATTTTATATAGATATTTAATAAATTCAATTATATATATATATATATATATATATATATATATATACTGTATATATATAT